AAAATAGGCGCAGGAGAGTTCAGTTCACCAATGACTATCTAAATTACGGAGAGGAATTTTGAAATAATGATATATTTTCTGATGAAAAAACTTCCAATCTTGCAATATTGGAAGGCTGCGAGTATATCGTCCAAGAGACGCAAGATTTGAGGAGAACTACACATTAAGAACTTTAAATAGTGGACGCTTTTCCATAAACTTTTGGGCGTGGATAAGCGTCCATGGTGCGGGAGTATGTTGGGAAATTGATGGTAGATTAACGGCTGAGCACTATACGACGATTTTGAACAACGTTATGCTACCTTCAGTTAGACATGTATTTCCAGAAAATTGTATATTCCAACATGTTAGAAAACTATACAAAAGTGTACAAAAATTATTCTAATAAATATTATATTACACCAGTTCACACAGCTCGCGTGATTATAGAGTGGGTAAACAACACCACATAATTGTTTTGCCATGGCCAGCTAGAAGTCCATAAACCCCATTGAAAACGTTTTGGGTTTTATAGTTAAAAAATTATATCAACGGGACTTTAGGCCAGAAAACCGACATGAACTACGGAATGCTGTTGAAAATTCTTGGGAAGACGTTACTGAGTCATACGACATGCGTAACCTAATAATGTCCATGCCAAAAAGGTTGCAAAGTGTTGTGGCAGCTAATGGATCTGCAATTAAGTATTAAAATAAATTATGAGCAGCAGCACAATTTTTTAAGCCAGCAAACCGAAATGAACTACGGAATTCTAGTAAACATTCTTGGAAAGAGCTTAAGACATTTAAATCTGCAGCTATTTTCTTGAGCAATATTTTAATTTAGTTATGTTATTTATATTTTTATTTACCTACTTGTTAATATTCTTGTACAATACCAAATTAACGTTAATTTATTTGTAATATTATTTATATTATTGTTTTTAAAAATATTATTAAAAAATAATATAATTAGGTATTATAGTAAATTTAAAAGTAAACTACGTACACGTCATCAATAAAACAAAAATTTTACGCATTGGTACCAACACTAACACTGTAATTGAATATTTGAATGCATTTTAAACATTTTCAGTTGGCAACAATTAAGATGTTGTCATATTTACATTCAAATATTTCATATTTAAATGACACATAAAAAAGAATTTGACGTTTCAGAATTTGGAAGCTGTCAGTTGTGTTTTTGAATATTTCGTTTAATTCGTGTATTATTTCGTTTATTTTGTTTGTTGTTTGTGTTATTTTATATCGTTTAAGTTTTCATTGCCGTTTTTGTGTTTGTTATATATCGTTTTTTGTGTTTCCTATATTTAAAATGCCGAAGCATTTAAATAGTCGGAGTCAAGAGTTGGTGTCATCCTTAATACGCTATTTTGAGGCAGAACGGGATAATAATGGACCTTTGTTACCTTTAACAGCTGTTAGAGAGGTAAATAGGATTATTATTAATTATATATTGGAATATTTAACAAAATATATGTTGGATACATAAAATAATAATATATATACCAGAGACTGACTGTAGATGGCAAAATTTTTGGGTTTTATATCAGAAAATGTCTTTAAAAATGGCTAAAAACATACTTTTGGCGGTGCATCATATAGGTTATAAAAACTCAGACTTTTGAAATTTTGGTATTATTCATGTAAACGCCATCTATCGCCCTGTAGTTGCACTACCACTTTCCCTTGATGCAAGGATTTTAGCATCACATTGACAACCGTGCCCGATCAGCTGATTGATGACGTGTACGTAGTTTACTTTTAAATTTACTATAGGTATCTTAGTATTCTCCCCTCTATTTGTTACGCCACTGGCCGAAGCCAGGAATGAACGAATGAATTTTATGAAAAAAATCCATGACAACCAAAAATCGTTCACATTTTGGGGACGCCAATTGTACCTTGACGATATCATTGAGATTGGAAAGTCATTTGAGGACCATATGAAGGAAGTTTTTCAGCGCTTAAGAAATTCCGGCCTGAACCTTAGCCCGAACAAATGTCACTTGTTTCAGGGGGGAAGTTGGATCTGGTCGTTTCAAGTCAAGGAGTAGCAGTGGCCAAACAGAAGGTAAAGACGGTGCGGGAATGGCCAATACCGAAGAATAAACATAATTTAAGAAGCTTTCTTGGATTTTGCACCTACTATCGTCGGTACGTACCAGGATTTACAAAGGTAGCTAAGCCTTTGACACATTTGACGGAAGAAGAGAGACGATTCCAATGGGACGACGAGTGCCAAGAAGCCTTTGAGGACCTGAAAAACGCGTTTACCAGCTCACCAGTTCTGAGTTATCCTCTCCAGGATGGTGGGATTATTTTGGACACGGACGCTAGCAATGTGGGCCTGGGAGCTGTGTTGTCGCAGATTCAAGAAGGAAAAGAGAAAGTCGAAGATCGAAATTACTGTGTTACTCGACGCGAGCTGTTGGCAGTGGTAAAATCAGTCGAACACTTTGACAAGTACCTGTATGGAAGAAAATTCTTGCTAAGAACGGATCATGCTGCCCTAATATGGCTTTTGTAACTCAAGAATCCTGAAGGACAGGTAGAAAGATGGATTGAGAGACTACAGGAGTTCTACTTTGACACAGAACATCGGGCTGGGACCATCCATAGAAATGCTGACGCCTTGTCAAGAAGACCGTGCCCGGAAGACTGTAAACATTGTCTCAGGGCCGAAGAAAAGGATGTGTTTATTTGCAGGACTACACTTGTAGATGATTATTGGGAGTCCGATGAGGTTTAACAAGACCAGGAGGGGGATCCAGATTTGAAGCCCCTCATCGACTGGAAGAAGAACGACCGCAAACCAACGTGGCAGGAAGTCGCCCAATATTCGCCGAATGTGAAATCGAACTGGGCTCAATGGAAATCCATCATCTTAAGTGACGGACTTCTTAAGTTTGGAGACTCCAGAAGGGGGAGAAGACCAGAAGCAGTTAATAATCCCCAGAAACAGGATACCAGAAGTGCTGCAGGAAATCCATGATGGAACTACTGGGGGACATCTTGGGGTGACGAGGACGCTTGGAAGACTTAGGGAACGGTTTTATTGGGCAATTGTCAACGAGAATGGTGGAAGAAGTGGTGCAAGAAGTGCACCGTTTGCGCGGCAAGCGATGGGCCCCAGAAGCGCTCAAATGCGACAGTACAATGTGGGCAGCCCATTTGAGAGAATTGCAATCGACTTGGCGGGTCCATTTCCGGAAACAGAATATGGAAATGAATACATCATCGTTGTAATGGACTACTTCAGCAAGTGGGCGGAAGCGTACGCCTTGCCAAACCAGGAAGCTGCCAAAGTGGCTTAATATTCGAAAGATGAGGACGACCGCATTACATCCGCAGTCTGATGGAATGGTAGAACGAATGAATCGAACGATAAACCGGTACCTGTCCAAGGTAGTCTCTGATCACCAAAGAGACCGCTTCCTCCATCTGTTCCTGTTGGCGTACCATTCTTCTATCCACGATAAATCCGGGCAGACACCCGCTAGCATTGTTATGGGACGTGAACTTCGTCTACCTTGTGATCTGAGGTTTGGGGCAGATATTGCTGGAGAAGATTACGTAGGAAAAAGAGCGAAATTCACAGCCGAGTTCGTTTAAACATCCAAAGTGCCAGTGATAGAATGAAAGAGGCCTACGATATCAAGGGGGAGAATGGCAGATTTCAACCTGGAGACCTAGTTTGTTTATACAACCCTCAGCGCCGTCGTGGTTATTCACCTAAGCTGCAGACTTCTTGGAAAGGACCCTACGAAGTCATGGATCGAATAAATGACATCATTTACAGGATCAACCAAGAGGAAAGCCGAAAGTGATCCATTTTAACCGATTGGCTCCTTACGCTGGAAACAATGATGACCAAATAAACGATGCTAGAGTAAACCACCGGAAGACGAGTTGCGTTTTGAAGACTTCATGTATCTACATTCGAGCGGTAAAAAAAGCTCGGTATGGTGCCACTCGAAAAGAACAAGATCTGTTCACAGTTTCGGCCGATTACTCCTTGGTTCACTGTGTTGCAGAAGACCTTAGGATGTCCAGGAGAAAGGCGGTTGTCTTTAAAAACAAGTTTGGACAGGACGACGACTTACGAAGACCGAATCCCAAAGTTGGAGAGGTGCTTGAAATTGTGGATAATGAGCAGATGGGCAACAGAAGTATCTTCTATCTGGTAACGAAGCAGCTCTCCCATCAGAAGCCAAACTACCGTGACGTATGGAATGCCTTAAATAATAATAGGGATACCCTTTTGTCCAAGGACATCATGAACCTGGCGATACCGAAGATTGCTTGTGGACTTGACGGTTTAGACTGGAGAATAATTAAAAGTATGGTGTAAGTTATCTTCAGATTTAGTGGCATACACATTCTTGTCTGTTGCCACAACCCTAAAAGAACAACCGGAAAGAAGACCGTAGACTGCTACTTCTATAGGTCGTCACAATGCAAGTTTGGATCTATATGCAAATTTCGCCATAGAGCTAAGGACCATTTTCGGGAGGAAAATGTTTTATGACTTATCATCGGTGAGTCAGCGCTTGAGCGATCGAGAGCACACCGGAGCTCGCTGGAATGTTCGGGAAGGCGCTTGTGTGACTAGTGTCACGTAGGCACTGTATATATAAGGAACAGCGCAGCATGGAGCTGTTAGTCAAGCTTTGGTACTCGCGACGAAATAAAATAAATATACGTGCAAATAAATACTCTTGTACAGTAGTGATATATAAATAATTAGTAGTTAAGTGTTTAGTCAGTTTTATATTTTCTTAGTGTTTTAAGTGTAATTAATATATAAAATAGAATAATCGTTTAGTTCGTTAATAAACCAGTGCGTGTTTTAATTCACACTATTTAACAGTAAAAACGTTACAGTATTAATACAATATTTATAGATATTTTCGATACACTTACCTTACGATTAATTAATTAATATTTCTTGAAATATGGGTGGTTTGAGAAAGTAAAACCAAATATTTATTAAAAAGTATTTTATACATAATAAAAATGTGTGTTTTGTGCTTTGTTTATCCTCCATGTAAAGTTGATATAAATAGTATTTTATCCTTTGGCTGTATTACATAATTTACTGTATCCTAAAATGAAATTGTCCATTTAATATGTTTTTAACATATAAAATCAGGTAATAATTTTTAGAATATGAGTTTAAATTTTACAAAGAGGTACTTATTATTAACCTCAAAATAAAAACCATTCAAAAATCACTCCTATCATCAGTAAGTTAATTTTACTTGTGCTAAAGTACTCTTGTATTTTATGGATGATTTTAATATGATTTAGTAGTAGTCTACTTAATTAGTAATCATTAATTCATGGTTAAATTAATGATTTATAAACTAATGGATAAAATAAACGCACCATATAATTCGAATAACCTAGTCAAACAAATTTTCTTTGGATATTTTAGTTCAAAGGTTTCTCAAAGGTTCAGTCATTTATTTTATACGAACCGAAAACATGTTAAAATAGTGAGTAGTTTTGACTAATTTTTAAATTTAGTGCATTAATTGACTAATTTTTAAATTTAGTGCATTAATTTTGATATTGCACGTTGAAAATAGTATCGCGGTGTCAGATGTGTGCATAGGAAACCCCCGTAAATCGTTTTTGTGTAAGGAATTTTATATAAAAAAAATTAACAAAAAAGTAAGGATTTTATGCTTATTTAATTTGCTTCATAATATTTTTATTGTTAAACGCATCAATTGTATGTTGAAATCAGTAGTATAAGTAAACAGATATAGGGCCGGTTTTTCAATCGTTGGTTAAGTTTATATTACGGTTAAATTTCTTAGATACTATTGTGTTAACAATAGTATCTAAGGAAATTAACCGTAAGATAAAGTTAACCAACGATTGAAAAACCGGCCCATAATATCTCAAGTTATATATTTTTATGAAGATAGAGAAAAAAGTGGTACTTTCGGCTTTTCTAGCAGGATATTTTTTAACAGTAAAACGATGTGGTGACAAATAAATGTGTGTTTGGTTATAACAGGGTATTTTGTTTACTTTAATGCGAAATAGAACAAGAACACCTTACTAAAGAGTATAATTGGCAACTACTCATAAAACTTTTTTTTTACTTACAATTTTAAAGGCCTTTATGATTTATTTAAGTTTATCATATCATTTTAACGAATCTGCCCTATACACAGGCTAAAAGTACCCCACTAGTGGCAGTTTACACTATCACAGGAAATTTCTTATTTTAAGATGATTTAAAAACATGCTGAATCTATCCCACTTTCCCCTACGCTTTCGAGTTTTTCAAGGTTCATGCAGTTATAATAATGATTATGGGTGTGAATTGGAGAAAATCTACACTCAGATCCTATAAAGTTTAATCATCTTTAACGAGGCTAATGTAAATGTAAGAATAATATGACGATTTAGGAAAGAATAAAAAATTTATAGAAACGTTTATATTAAAACAATTGACGCGTTTCTCGGAAAAACATCATTAGTCCAAAATTAACATATTTGGGAAAATGAAAAAAAACTCTCCGACATTCCCATTTTTGACCAAAGTACTTTATTGACCTATTCACTACATGTAAAAAAATTTAAGATACTTTGTCCAGAATTCCTCATGTTTTTTTTTTCAAACGAATATGAAAAAAAACACAAAAAATACATGAACATGTGAGGTTTTTAGAAAAAAAAACGAACAATTGTCCTTACTACAAACTTAATAGGTATTAACTCTGAGTAACAAAATAAATGAAAAAACTAAAAACTGTATTACTGCCACACTCAGTCTTCGCATCCACTGCTGTTATCATCGTTGTCGACCGTGTTATCAGGACTGTCAGGTGCTATGGTCTTCTGGTCTTTTATCAAGTTATCATAAAATTTTCTATTGCTGTGGTCATGTAAAAGAGGTAGAAGCTTTTCTAGAGTGTTTGTTTTCTTAATTGGTATTGGCAGATCGTATGCAGAAAGTCACATGTTATGCACATGTGACTTTCTTAGACGAAACGGAGTGGACTTGTGATGTTTTTAGAAGAACAAGCTAAATTTCATATTTAATTATTATGGAACCTATGACATTTTTACGAGAAACACTTATTTGTTTACGTATATATGGAGGTTAGGAAACAGTTGGTGCTAATATCTAAATTTCGACGATTTTGGACTAATGATGTTTTTCCGAGAAACGCCTCAATTTTTTTTAAACTGTCACGAAAATATGAAACATTATGGCATATAAGTCAGATAGATACAGCAAACTTCGTTAGAAATAAAGAAAAAGGGACACATGGCCTAATTCGAATGTGAGTAAGATGAGTCATTAAACCATCGTTTTAAATCCGATTTGACATGGATTTAGTAAATGCTACGTAAACAAAATCCTAAAAAGTACTTTATTTGTACAGGCAGGTTTAAATTTTTAAACCTTTTACTTTAGGAAATCAGATTTCTATTATGCGTTCCCATTAAAGTGGGGCGTTTTTTCTCAGCAATATTAGTACGTAATTAGTGCATAATGGCGCTTCCAACAATAAAAAAAAACTTTGACAACTAGGTCTTTTATAGCGTTTGAACGGTGAAAAACTCCTTATTTCATTGTGACACTTTAGAAATAGGGTAAATATCGGGATATTACATCTTAGTTTCATGGTCGAAACACCTTTACGTTGATATATATTGATATATAGATTTACATAACTGTCTCATATCGAAAAGCCTAGTTTTTCACAGTACATCGACACCCAAGCCACGAAATTTTGACCACAAAACTGCTTAGTCATTATTTATTTACCATCTAAACGTAGTGAGGAAAAGAAACAAGCAAACTTATCATTCACCGGGAATCGACCAAGCTATAACCGCGAAATGAACGTCAATTGATTGTAAAGTAAATCGACCGTAAATTGGATATTTATTCACCGCAACTTACCCGTAAGCATGAAACCGCTAGGGTATTTTAATAAAATAAAATTGACAAAAAAACGACATCAAGTACATCTTTTATAGCGTGTGGAAAGCTTTTCCTGTAAAGCCCCAAAGGACAATGTGGAGTTTAAGTTACTAAAAAGTAGAATACCTACCATAAGCTCCCAATCTGCATCATTTACCAAAACTAATATTCCAGGTCTCCTAAAAATTAATACAATTTTAAAGTTACACTAATATAATTGTATATTAATATAATAATAATAATACACTGGCGAGCAAAAAATTTAGGTCACATTAAAAATGTGATATATTTTTTAAATTCTCAATTTTAAGAATTTATTTTCCAATTGTAAATACTGGCAATGTATTTTCTAGGCTTACTTTAATATTGAATATTTATTCAAAACACATCATTTTGGATTTTTTGATTAATTTTGGAAAAAAATAAAATTTACAGTTCATACGAAGTTAGACTTATTGTTATTTGGAACTAAAGCAACAAGTAAAACCTAACATTAATGACTAAAATTGATTATTAATAACGTGTATTCTCTCCTTTTGCGTTAATCACTGCTTGTAGTCGATAAGGCATACTTTAAATTAAATTAAGAATCACATTTTGGTCGATGTTATTCCACTTCTTCAATAGCAACTCTCTCAACTACTGGGCAGTTCTTGGAGCTGGTGTATGCCTTCAGATACGTCATCCCAGACATGTTCTATGGGTTTCTGGTCTGGACTGAGTTTTGGCCAATCAAAACGCTTAATTCTTACCTGATCCAGATATATCTGAATGTATTCACTTACAACTGGCTGCATGGGGTCTAGCATTATCTTGCATGAAAATACCATGCTAGCCCATAGTGATCATAAAATGTATTAAATAATCTTCCAGAATTTCTGTAATGTACCTGTGAGCTGTCATGGACCCATTCTGTATGAAGACCAACTCTGTGCGTACTTAAGAAATTATTTCCGCCCAAACCATAACCGACCCACCGCCAAATGGAACTTTCTCGTCTATACAAACTGTTGCATATCTTTCTTCAGATCTTCTCCATACACGCCGACGTCCGTCTGACCCATTGTGGAAAAAACGAGACTCATCTAAAAACAGTATCTTGCTCCAGTCATCATCATTCCATGCCAAGATTTTGGGCAAAAGTGAATCTTGCAGGCGGCGGTGCACACCAAAAACCGATCATCTCTCTTGTTGATAAATCGTTTTCGCCAAGATCCTGGTTTTCTGGTTATTAGTCCAGTCGTCTGGTATCGTTGAAACACATTTTGTACAGCACATAGGCTCTTACCAATAATTCTTGCAGTTTCACGTTGTCCTCGACCATCTTGTATCATTACTACAATTCTTGCAACAATATGATCTAAAGGATTTATGACCTATTAAATATACACCACAAACAATACACCGTACAACCGTTAGGTTTTGGATAGATAAATCAACACTAAACTGAGAAATAGGCAACAAAATATGAACCTGACCTACATTTTTTGCTCGCCACTGTAATAATAATAATAATAATAATGGGTCTATTTTCTAATTGGTACATTAGTATATACATACAATATATTTATAATTATATTATATGAGGCCTGTCAGAGCAAAGTCAACAATCTCCCGTCAGACTAAAACTGAGTAAATTGAGATAATTGATTTTGGTATTTTAAATTCTAGATTTGTATTTTTTTTATATATTATATTGAAATATTGTTGTTGTTAGTCTAGTAGCAAACTAAAAGGTCTCCAGGATGCATAGTATAGGTGAAATCTATAATTATAAATTGAAAATTGCTGACTTTGATATGAATTGCTGGAGATTGCTCATTTTGTTGTAAACGTTTAAGGAGATTTAGAAAAATAAACAAAAAAATAATTGTATTTGTTTCCTTTAATGGTTATAAAATTTAACTATACAATCAATGTGGGAAAATTCTGAACTGGACCACATAAATCTGGAGTTTCTTCTAAATCTGGGACCAGGTTGCCTCCTGCAAAAAAGTTTTTATAGTACAAAAACGCATCATCTTCCCACTTTGTCCCGTAATGTTTTACTTGCAATGTTTTGACATTATCAGCCTTTTCTTGCTTTACCTTTACGTCTTATTATGGTATAATAGCACAAAATAAACAAGATAACTTTTTTTATCATTCTTAAAACAATAAAACGTATATATACCTATTTTAAATATATTTTTAAGTGCAATTTACTGCAATAGAACTTAACAGTATGTACCAGTAAAAAAACACAAAATTAAATCTCTAAAATACGTTATAACATCAAAAGTTAGGATATCATTTGACACAAATTACTAATTTCTAATGGTGGATTTGGAGATTGCATACTTTGCTGCAAATCTATCAGTGGAGATTGGCGACTTTGCACTAAATGTCATTTTTAAAATAGGATTTTAGGCAGGATTTAGCTCTAGAAGTAGGTTTCCGGGTTTTAAGCCGCGTATCATTGTAATCATAGATAACAAAGCCGGGTTTTAAGCCGCGTATCATTGTAATTCGGTTTGACGTTTCGACAGCCATGTTGCTGTCTTCTTCAGAAAACTGAAAACTAAAGAGATTGGATCGGTTCACGTCTTTATATAGGTGTTTTTGGGCCGCTGGTTGGTGTTCCGGTGAGTGATTTCATGCACCAGTTGTTGTGTGCTCATCTGGAAATCCGGAAACCACAGATGAGCACACAACAACTGGTGCATAAAATCACTCACCGGAACACCAACCAGCGGCCTAAAAACACCTATATAAAGACGTGAACCGATCCAATCTCTTTAGTTTTCAGTTTTCTGAAGAAGACAGCAACATGGCTGTCGAAACGTCAAACCGAATTACAATGATACGCGGCTTAAAACCCGGAAACCTTCTAAACTTCTAAAGAAAATAACCGCGAAAGCCTTAGAGATACAATTAGGATTTAGCTCCTTTTGCAGCACATAAAGTTTATCATCTTATAGATAATTAGTTGAAGTACAGTCTCCGCCAAAAATCTAATTTTTGACCAAAAGTGGAGATTGTCGGTTTTGCTATAACAGGCCTCATATATTATAAATCCTAAATGTACATATCTATGCCGGAGATCAGTATCGAGTACATAAGTGTACTCTTACTGTTATTTAATTTAAGCAGAGAATATCACTGGTAACGCCTTAACAATTTAATTTATTTTATTTACTGGAAACACAATTACATTTTTAATAAAATCAAAAAATATAACTTTTCGTACCATGGTTTTATGCATGGCTACACACATTGGTGCTTGTTGGACCGTATATATTTATTAGAGGATCACCTGGCGACTCTATAACTTTATTATTATAAACATTTTAATATTTATAATATTGATACAGGGTGTTTCTTAATGACGTGCTAATATTTCAGGGTGTCATTCTTCATTTTATTAAGAAAAGTTTATATGAACATTGTTTATAAAAAAACGAAATAGTTTTTTTCTTGATTTAATATGACAATTGCTTAGATTATGCCAAATTATATTCTCTACAAAAAATGTTGCTCAAGTTTATATTGCTAATAATTTATAGTCAGGTCAAGTTTGCCTCCCCCCCCACACCATGCAAACCCCTCTATTAAACATCATACTTTTGCACACCCCTTTTTAAATTAGTTGAAGTACAGTCTCCGCCAAAAATCTAATTTTTGACCAAAAGTGGAGATTGTCGGTTTTGCTATGACAGGCCTCATATATTATAAATCCTAAATGTACATATCTATGCCGAAGATCAGTATCGAGTACATAAGTGTACTCTTACTGTTATTTAATTTAAGCAGAGAATATCACTGGTAACGCCTTAACAATTTAATTTATTTTATTTACTTGAAATACAATTACATTTTTAATAAAATCAAAAAATATAACTTTTCGTACCATGATTTTATGCATGGCTACACACATTGGTGCTTGTTGGACCGTATATATTTATTAGAGGATCACCTGGCGACTCTATAACTTTATTATTATAAACATTTTAATATTTATAATATTGATACAGGGTGTTTCTTAATGTTGTGCTAATATTTCAGGGTGTCATTCTTCATTTTATTAAGAAAAGTTTATATGAACATTGTTTATAAAAAACGAACTAGTTTTTTTCTTGATTTAATATGACAATTCCTTAGATTATGCCAAATTATATTCTCTACAAAAAATGTTACTCAAGTTTATATTGCTAATAATTTATAGTCAGGTCAAGTTTGCCCCCCCACACACCATGCAAACCCCTCTATTAAACATCATACTTTTACACACCCCTTTTTAAATTTTGTACAGCCTTTCTTAAAATTTGCACACATCCGCTTTGGAAATGGAAAGGAAAATCATGGCTCCGACGAACTCTACTTTTCGTCATCAGAATCTACTAATTTTGGTTTTTATTTTTTATGAGTTTTGCTTTGCATAAATCTGAACAATAATTTTAAATCAATTCAACCCAACCACTCAGCCTAACCACCCTATTGAAGAAGATTATTCTGTCGGTAAACTTCTTATTGACAAAAATAAGTCTGTACAAATTCATTACAAGATTGGTGAGATGATTTGTTTAGATTGCATTTAGATTTAGTACATAATAAGGATTCAAGCGTCTGATGCATGCATTTCCATTATATACCATGCCAACAAGAAGTGACATTGATTTATAATGACAACATTATTTCGAATATTCAGTCGTGTTCGTAACAAAATTACTCAATGCATAGAAATAGCAAAATATATATCATTTACTTCTGATATTTGGACGTGCCAGGACACAAAAGTACAATGCTTTTGCAAACATTTCTTAGGCAGTCATACTGGGCTTAATATTAGTAAAAAGTTTGAGTATATGCTAAACTCTTGGAATATTTCTAAATCAAAAATCCATATTCTTATTAGAGATGGGGGATCGAATATGGTCAAAGGTTCTAATGAGCTTGAAATTGATAGTTTGAGCTGTTTCATTCATTCTCTACAACTGGTGATACTCGAGGCAATGAAAGCACAAAAAGGAGTTATAGAAGAATAGTGGGCCACTTCAGTTATTCCTCAGCTGCTTGTTCAAAACTGAAACAAATTCAAGCCAAATAAAAAGCTAATACAAGATGTAACTACCAGGTGGAGTTACATGCTGGAAAGGTTGTATGAAGAAAAAAGGTCCATCTGCATATATGCCAATGAACAAGTTAAGATTATGAACCTATCAAAAACACAGTGGGATCTTGTAGCTTTATTAATTCAGATACATTTGATTGTTTTATATTTTTGTTTTTGTTGTTCATGGTTCTTTTGATGCAAAATGAAAGTAATAGTTATGATTTTACCTTATTTAAAATAAGCTTGATAAGACACTTAAGCCAAACACAATCTAAAAAAAAGTTTTCCTTTTTGGCTTAGGCACTCATTGCAACTCTGATTGCAGAAACACCTAGAAGGTTTTCACAATTGGAAAAAAATACAAATTGCTCCATTGTCGCCTTTTTAGACCCGAGATACAAACACATATTTTTTCTTGTAGAAACTAAAGATAGGCAAAATCAGGAACTAGCAAAACAATAATTATAAGTTGAAAACTTAAAAGTTTAAAATCAAATCGAACACAATAAAGATAATGATGGAAACGTAAGTGATTCCTGTAATACAAGCAGTAACACTAGCAGCTCTTCCAATCAAAAAAGAAAAAAATAATTTTTGATTCCTATAAGGAAGTAGTTCAGGGGTCAGGTTCGAGCTCTAGTGTACAAGTGCAATAACTTAAAAAAGACAACAAATCTGAAACACTAGGAAGCAAGAATGCTGAAAAATTATTATTTATCCACCAAAACTTACCAAAAGTTTGTAACGAATATTAAGTCCGTACTTTCCTGTATAAATTAATAATTTTATTTTTAATTTTGATTGAAAAATAAATTAAAAGAGAAATTTTAATCATGTTTTTTGTTTTTTGTATGTCTTCCTCCTTCGGCAGACTTCCGGTATTTTAAGCCGAAATCAGTAACTCCGGTAAAAGAGCCGGAGTTAGCCGAACCTGCATCTCTAGTTTAAACCAAGAAATAGTTGAAAAATTATGTATTATGTACATGTATACGTATAGGTAGAAGTATTAGGAGTATCAATATTATTTGCCAATTAGAGGATCAGGAGGTCTAGGAAGACGTAACGAGGAATGAAGTAGGGTTGTGCAAAATTTGAAATGAGGTGCAAAATTAGGATGACAAAAAGTAGTCCGTCGAAAAAATGGGTGCGGCAAGCGTCAATTTTGACCCCCCACATGATTTTCCTTGCCATTTTCAAAGTAGGTGTGTGCCAAATTATGATGTGTAATAGAGGGGGTTTGCTCGATTGGGAAGGGAGGCAAACCTGACTGCCCCAATAATTCGCAAAGTAAAATCTTTTTGAAATTACGCGTTTTTAGGTCCAGAATATAAACCATTGATTGTACTTTATATGAAAACTTATTATTGCGCAAATAACCTATAGCGCAATAACCTGTAGAGCCGGAAGCTGATTTGAAAAAAGCCACAAGCAGGATAGGTAGGTATACGTATCGACTCGTAATCGAATTCTGAACAACTTTATAAAGTTATGTTGTCTGTGAGTCTGTCGTCAAATCTTTGAACCTCCGATGGGGGCCATTTTTTTATTTTTTTGTCAAATTTCGGCAAATCAGTTATTGAAGTCTCTTAAGAATATTTTTAACCAAAGCCAGATTCCTCGAAAACGGTTGTATTGCGTTTTTTTCTATTTTTGAAGGGTAAAAGAATGTAGTTTGACATACTAAAAGATAATCATCGACTGGTTTATTATTGTGTATTTTTTTTAGTAACTAACTACATAATAGTGTCCTTTATGCCCGGGCAGGTATAAAGTGCACTTTATGACCCGCGCCGGCATAAAGACACAAAAAAAGTTTTTAATAAACTTATTAATACAATTACAAAAAAATAAATTAAAGTATTATGTAAATTAACTTAACAATATTTAGTCATAGTGTCTACTATGATAAAATAAAAATGTTGTACATACATTTGATTAGCAACAATTTTATTATTATTAGAGGGACTATCGTTATTTTTTATAGGGGCGGTTGTTCTTATCAAAGGGACCGTTGGGAGGTAACGACGCGTCGTACTATAATAATAATAATAACATAATGATTTGTAATTTAGGAAGGTAAAAAAATTAATGGAAAGTTATTTATTAAACAAATACCTTGTTTACAACAACAAAAATTATAATCTAGATTATCATAAATGTTTTGTATGTAAACATTTTCTTTGATTACAAAATTTCTTTTGGAAAACCGGTGAGGAGGTAAGCATTTGCATATTTTTTCAAATATGTCACAACGTTTCCTATGTTAGCAACAACGGTCCCTTTTCCCGAGGACCGTCGTTGCGTTTAGACACATGGGATTAAGACCAAGTTCTCCGAGATCAGTTTAAGAAAATGTGGGGTTATGTATTGTATATGTCATTGTACACATCTAAAATGTTTAGTCAGAGACCGGCGTTATTTAATAAAAAAGTACGCATTAAAATATCAGGCTTAAACTAAGTTCGGTAAGCGCTCGATTTAAATTGGGAGACATGATATTATCTTATTAAGACCAGTATAAGATTTTCCAAGTAAATAAGTCTTATAACGTAAGTTAATAGTTCTTATATTAACTAAAAAATATTTTGCAAAGATCAATTAAGGTAATCTACATACAAATATGGATTGTAAGTCAAAAAAGGCGGCGGGAGACAAGAGACCGTGGTTAAGTTTTTTGGGTTAATATATCAGACTTTTAAAACACACGATAATTATAGAAGCTATTAGTAACTGAATATTAAAAACAGTTAATATTCAAGAAATTTCATTAAGTAAATTGCACATTAACTTCATATTTAAGTTTTTTTGGAGCTAGAGACATGTTTTCTCCCAATACTGGAGTTTGTCCATAAAACACTAAAACTATAAAACTAACTAAACACTTAACTACTAATTATTTATATCACTAGTGTACAAGAGTTTATTTATTTGCACGTATATTTATTTTATTTCGTCGCGAGTACCAAAACTTATGGGTGATTCTCATATAAGTGTTCGATTTGTGTCCCCAAGGTATTTTACATGTCGAATACTTATAAAAAAATGTATTACTAAGAAATTTCTAATAAGGAAACGTATTCTTTCGATAAAAAATTGAAAAGTTATAAAACAATTAATTTTTGGGCTTAAAATATTTAATATAAACAGCAAATTCGTCATTTCGGTAACTGTCCCTGATTATATTTTAATAATAAAGCTCTGATAAAACTTAAATTTAACCTATATATTCCATTAAATGCAATGTTTTTTTTAAAGCTACAAGTTTTATGAACAAGAATAATACGTTATTATAAAATATTTTAAAGTAATACAGTCAATAAAATTATTATTTGCATGTCCCGGCACAATACCGTCATTTCGCTAACGATATTGGACGACACTGTAGCGCCATCTAAATGTGCACTACTGTAGTTAGTTAGTTTAAAAGTTTTTGTCGTAGTGTGTGTACTTTCTGCAAAAGAGGTAAGTTTTAGAATTAATTTGTTCACTTTTTTATGAAATTGATTAGTAATTCAATAACTGTTAACGTACCCTTAATGTCTATCAACTCGGTAACGCACAATTTTCTGTTTTATGACTTGGATACTATTTTAATGTTCAACATAATGATATGATGCGCTGTCAGTAACGTAACCTCAAATTTTTAGTTTGATGTTGTCAAATTTAAATGGGTTTCGTTTAGATATAACTCAATTTCGTCATTTCGGTAACAATCATTCCGGTAACAAACGTTGTCGTTACCGAAATGATCATGCGTTACTGAAATGATGCCATCATGAAAATTAGTTAAAAGTTGTTATTAAACGCTTTAAAGCGTAAAATCTTTCAACTAGTTTTTGTATCTAAAAAAACTTTCCACAAGGACAGAGTCATTTTGGAGAGCATTTTGGTTCTGCTTATTGGAAAAACAAGTGCATTTCTTTTGATATTCTGAGACATTTTGGGGAATTTGTGTTCATTTTTATAGGGGTTTTAGTATATTCCAGTATACCTACTTTGAGATTTTTACTTGCTATTTTCTTTTTGATTTTATTAATAATCAGTTATTATTGGTACACAAGGGGTAATATAAAGTTTTGTTTTGACCCTTCTGTTCGACATGTAAATTATTGCATCTGATGGAAAAAATAATTTAAACCATAAAATTAAATGTGTACACGCTTATTTCTAGATAGAGTAAGACTTATGGATGCAAAGTACGAAAAAATGAAGAACCGTTTGAAAATAGATCGTGAAAAAGCAGCGCGAAGACGGGATGAAGAGAAAAAAGAAAAATTTAAGAAAAAGGAGAGAGAAAAGATTAAAAATGATATCAAGGCAAAAATACAGACAAATGAGAATGATAAATCTTCGGAACTAATGGAACTACTAAGAGCGAAGGAAGAAATAGAACAGAAGATTAAAAAAATTAAAGAATCTCAAAACCAAAATAACGAGAATGTCAACAATAGTTCAACTGTGGAGGATACTTATCATAATCTAATTTCCTTAAATACTAAACCAAAAAATACAAAAATTGAAGGGAAAAAAGAAGAGAATATTGTTTTTAAAAAACATCAAACCACTCCTAAAATTAAAGAAAACCAAGGAAAACTGGAAACTAAGAAAGAAAATGATAACAATCCCAACGATAATTTAACTGTGCAAGTTACTAAGCATATTTGTACTTCCTTAAATAATAAACCAGGTAATACAAAATTTGGATCAAAAATACAAGAAAATCCCTCTAAGAAAAAAAAAACAGCATCTAGCAAAAGTGAACAAGAAAAAAGAAAAGCAGTAAGGGATAGAGTCAGAAAGCATAGACTAACCTTATCCGAAGAAAAGCTTGATGAAAAAAGGCGAAAGGATCGGGAGAAATATCGAGAAAAGAAGGAAAAAGGTCTTGTTAAAAGTGTTAAAGACTTAAGTAAACGACAACAAGTAACTAAAAGGAAAAACTGGAAAGAAGCAAGTCAACGGTACAGAAAACACAAAATTAGTCGAAAAAGAGGGGCGGAATTTATAGAAAATACTACACCTCCATCTACTCCAGATATAATGGAAAATCAGCCTAATTTAATGGAACCTAACAGCAGTAGGAGAAATGCTGGTAGAAAAAAAATTAAAAGTAATAGGTCAAAGGTTTATAGAAAATTAGTCAAATCTGAGAAAGAGAATAAATCGCTAAAAACAGCCTTAGAGAGGTATAAAAAAAGGTTTTACAGAAAGAATTGTACCCCAAAAAGTCCTGCATCACCTTCTTCTAAAGTGAACGAAATCACCAAGGGTTTACCTGTACCACCACAGATTAAAAGAAAACTTCTTCTTGGAGAAACCATTCTTACAGAAATAAAAGATAAGAGGAGGAATTCAAATTCTCAAAAAGAAAAGCAAATTCTTTCCAAAATGATTACCGGAAAATATTTCCGTAAATATAAATTAATCACAGAAGTCAGAGACATAATTCCATATAGAACTGAAAAGAAACATCCCATAAATTCTAAATTTACTCAGTATGAAAGAAAAAAACGAAACGAAGTGAGAACAAAGAAAATAATAATGAAAATAAAAGAGTTTTTACAAAGAGATGAACACTCAAAAATGTGCCCAGGTAAAAAGGATTTTGTTACTAGAAATAAAATAAAAAAGCAAAAAAGGCTTTTACTAAATCCGTTAAAACACCTTTACAAAAAATTTGTAAAGGAACAAAAGTTACCATTCTCATTATCTTACAGCACGTTTTGTCGCCTCAAGCCTTTTTGGATTGTACATCCAAAAGCTCAAGATAGAGAAACCTGTGCTTGCATAAAACATTCAAATATGGACTTGATTGTGCAAAAACTATATTTTAACGGCTATACTAAATATAGATTTGCGGATCAAATAATAAAAAGAATAGTTTGTAACCCTGATAATAAACAGTGCTTGTTTGGTGTTTGTCAAAACTGTAAACCATTCTTACAGAAATAAAAGATAAGAGGAGGAATTCAAATTCTCAAAAAGAAAAGCAAATTCTTTCCAAAATGATTACCGGAAAATATTTCCGTAAATATAAATTAATCACAGAAGTCAGAGACATAATTCCATATAGAACTGAAAAGAAACATCCCATAAATTCTAAATTTACTCAGTATGAAAGAAAAAAACGAAACGAAGTGAGAACAAAGAAAATAATAATGAAAATAAAAGAGTTTTTACAAAGAGATGAACACTCAAAAATGTGCCCAGGTAAAAAGGATTTTGTTACTAGAAATAAAATAAAAAAGCAAAAAAGGCTTTTACTAAATCCGTTAAAACACCTTTACAAAAAATTTGTAAAGGAACAAAAGTTACCATTCTCATTATCTTACAGCACGTTTTGTCGCCTCAAGCCTTTTTGGATTGTACATCCAAAAGCTCAAGATAGAGAAACCTGTGCTTGCATAAAACATTCAAATATGGACTTGATTGTGCAAAAACTATATTTTAACGGCTATACTAAATATAGATTTGCGGATCAAATAATAAAAAGAATAGTTTGTAACCCTGATAATAAACAGTGCTTGTTTGGTGTTTGTCAAAACTGTAAACTCAAAGACCACATAATAGGAAAATTAAAGCTTGAAGGCAAAAATATGGACTCAGAGATTACGTTTCAACAATGGGCTTCTGTAAAAGAGGAGAGGCAAATAAAGAATAAACAAGTAAGCGTGAAGAGAACAGTTAAAAAATCTATGGTAACAACAGCAAATAAAATTATTACTTTAATGCATTCCAAATTATGTGACTACAAAAAGCATGTGTATATTATGTATCATCAGCTAAGAGAGTTACAAGCCAAAAAACAATTCATTGAGGAAGATGAACTCATTTTCCACATTGATTTTGCTGAAAACTATGTTGCTAAATATTCGATGGAAATTCAATCGATGCATTTTGGCGCATCCAAAAAACAAATTTCCCTTCATACGGGTGTTTTATACACAAATAATTCCAAACAGACATTTTGTTCTGTTAGTGATAATTTGGATCACCAAGCACATGCCGTGTGGGCGCACTTGAAACAAATACTGAAGCAACTTTCTTTAAATATAGCAAATATCCATACTATTCACTTTTTCTCAGATGGACCAACTTCGCAATATAAGAACCGCTCCAATATTTATTATTTATTGAAAATTGTTCCCTCCATATTCCCAACAGTTAATAAAATTTCTTGGAATTATAGTGAGAGTGGACACGGAAAGGGTCCCATGGATGGAGTAGGTGGTTCTCTAAAGCGATGTGCTGATCGCATTGTCCTTCAAGGTACAGATATAACTTGTGCTTCCGTATTTTTGAAAGAATTACAGAAAACAACTTCAGTAAAATTGTGGGAAGTATGTGAGAGTGAGGTTCTTCATTTAAAAAAAATCTTGCCCAAAAAAATACCAGCAATACCAGGAATAATGGCAATCCATCAAATTATATGGTCTAAAAGAGATCCTAATTTTATTTTACTGAGGCAGTTATCATGCTTTTCTTGTGAAGGACTTTGTCACCACCAAGTAGACTTGGCGGATGTACGGCTTAGATTTGTTCCCCCAGGTATAATTTGTTAATAAAAGTTTTTTATTCCTTGATTCTTATTTATATTTATATTTCTTACTTGGTAACCATCGTCATTTCGGTAATATTGTCATTTCTTTAATGTGGCAGTTTACCAGGACTAATTGAAAAATAAAATAATATGAGCTTCTCTAAAAATTTTAAAATTATAGGGCATACATTAATATTTAAGAAAAAGGGTAGAATTCTAAATACTATGGAACTTGGTAAGAAAAAAAGCAAACATTAGATTAAAAAAAGATAAAAATCAACAAATAATGTTAAATACAGCGAGTTATTTTCAATTGAAATAAAAATGAATGTATGTATTTATAATATTCAATAGTAGGGATATTTACCTTCAAAGTTTTTTACTTTTGATAAGAGAGCTGAAAAGAAAAATATTATTGAGTTACTAAATGTCTTCGTTACCGAAATGACGAAATTATCGTCTTTTCCACCCAAAAAGTTGTCTATATGCTAAACGCCTATTCATCTTGCGTGCCCAAATCAAAAATAAATATATCAAGGACACCAGATCATTACAAAATTAAAACTTAACCCTTTTTAGAAAATTATTTTTTTGCTAGTCGCTCGTCGAAATCGGACACTTATATGATATATACCCTTATATATTCAGTGCCTACATGACACACGTCAAGCAAGCGCCTTTCTTCATCGGCGATGAGTCATCATTTCGAGATCCAAAAGATCAAGAATTCTGCAGCTTCGGTGAATAACCACGACGGCGCTGAGGGTTGTATAACCAAACTAGGTCTCCAGGTTAAAATCCTCCATTCTCCGTCTTGATATCGTATGCCTCTTTCATTCTATCACTGGTACTCTGGATGTTTAAACGAACTTCATATTTAAGTTTTTTTGGAGCTAGAGACATGTTTTCTCCCAATACTGGAGTTTGTCCATAAAACACTAAAACTATAAAACTAACTAAACACTTAACTACTAATTATTTATATCACTAGTGTACAAGAGTTTATTTATTTGCACGTATATTTATTTTATTTCGTCGCGAGTACCAAAACTTATATATTCAGTGCCTACATGACACACGTCAAGCAAGCGCCTTTCTTCATCGGCGATGAGTCATCATTTCGAGATCCAAAAGATCAAGAATTCTGCAGCTTCGGTGAATAACCACGACGGCGCTGAGGGTTGTATAACCAAACTAGGTCTCCAGGTTAAAATCCTCCATTCTCCGTCTTGATATCGTATGCCTCTTTCATTCTATCACTGGTACTCTGGATGTTTAAACGAACTCGGCTGTGAATGTCGGTCATTTTCCTACGTAAATTGCTGACGTTATATTCTTCAGCAATATCTTCCCCTGGTAAAAACCAAACCTCAGGTCACAAGGTAGACGAAGTTCACGTCCCATAAAAATGCTTGCGGGCGTCTGGCCAGTTGTTTCGTGAATAGAAGAACGGTACGCCAACAGGAACAGATGGAGGAAGCGATCCCAGTCCCTTTGATGATCAGAGAATACCTTCAAGAGGTACCGGATTATCATTCGATTCATTCGTTCTACCATTCCATCTCCTTTGGGACACCAAAACGACAAATCCACTCCTTAATAGGGACATCGGCTACTGTGGCAGCTTCCTGGTTTGGCAAGGCGTACGCTTCCACCCACTTGCTGCAGTAGTCCATTACAACGATGATTTATATATTTCCAATTTCTGTTTCCGGAAATGAACCCGCCACGTCAATTGCAATTTTCTTGAATGGGCTACCTACACCGGCCTCGGTGGTGTAGTGGTCAGAGCTCCTGGGTACGAGCCGAGAGGTCGTGGGTTCGAATCCCACTTGGGTATGGTTGTTTATTTGTGTTTGTCCATTGTGTATAGTCCTTCGGAGGGGACTTTAAGCCGTCGGTCCGTTCCTACCCCTAACCCGCACAAGCCATTCAGTTGGCTTATGGGACATCTTAGTTTGGATGTAAGGGTGGAACTAAAAGAGCACTTTATAACTTTATAACTTATAACATTGTACCGTCGCATTGGAGCTTTCAGGCGCTTCTGGGGTCCATTACTTGCTGCGCAAACGTCGCACTTCTTGCACCATTTCTTTACATCTCGTTGACAATTGACCCCATAAAAACGTTCCCTAAGTCTTTCAAGCGTCCTCGTCACCCCAAGATGTCCTCCAGTAGTTCCATCATGGATTTCCTGCAGCACTTCTGGTATCCTGTTTCTGGGGATTATTAACTGCTTCCGGTCTTCCCCCCTTCTAGAGTCACATTCGGCGAATATTGGGCGACTTTCTGCCACGTTGGTCGATGATGAGCTTTAAATCCGGGTCCCTTTCCTGGTCTTGTTGAACCTCAGCGGATTGCCAATGATCATCCACGATTGTAGTACTGCGAATATACACATCCTTTTCTTCAGCCCTATCTAGTTTTCTGACTGAAGTCGGCGCCACCTGGCTTCCACTGCAGCGACTTTGTATATGTCCTAGCTTTCCACATCTCCAACACCGTATTTCCTTCTTCTCTGGTAAATTATCTTTAAGAACTTGCCTTATTGCTTCAATTATACTGGGTTCCTCCTCTTTCTCTTCCTCGACTCTCCTAATTCTAGACTGACTCCTGCAGCTCTGCTTTGCCTCTTCGAATTCCAAAGCTCGAGCAAATGCATAAACCAGTTGGCTCGGACGAGCCAATGTCAAAGGCTTGAACAGCTAATCATTCCATAACATTCGTTGACGTAGCTGGATATGCTAGCCGGACCAACCGTGCAATATAAACCTCGAATTCTTGCAGAGTCTCGTACGATTTCTGGGTGCGATTCTTAAGTTGTGAATGGCATATAGCAGTTCCAGATGTTTTACTAACGCTTCGTAATCTTCTTGTTCGTTGGGAGAAAGTGTCTTTAAGATGTCTGTTGCATCTCCGCGTAAAGCAAGAGTCAATGCTGTAGCCTTCTCCCCTGGTACGTAGCCATTTGCTTTTGCAGCTGCCTCAAACTGTCGGATGTAATTGGTCCAAGAAGTTTTTCCATCGAACTGAGGTGGTTTTATTTGAACTCGGCTCCCCTCTAGCACGGTTCCTGGTTCCGCCAGCATCATGGGTAGATTTTTTTCTTATTCTTGTTCTTCTCTCGTATCCAACTCCCTTCTTACTTCATTTATTTCCATCCTTACGTCTTTAAATTTCTGTCCCACTTTCTATTCTAATTCCGCGACATTTTCTAGAATCTTCTGCTCCACACACTTTTTTAAATTTTTAGTTCCAAAATTTTCTGTTGTAAATCGCTACAATTTTCCAGCATTTTCTGTTGCTAGTCAACTTCCAAATCATTAGTATTTTCTAGCATTTTTTGTTGTAACTCGTTAAAATGTTTTAGAATTCTCTGTTGTAAATCGATCGAATTTTCCAACATTTTCTGTTGTAAGTCGTTGGAATTTTCTGTGCATATCACATGGGCCTTCAAATAAATGTGTTTCTGGATTCTCACCAGCCTGTTCCAAAGCTTCTTAAAGTCGCTGCTGCAACACATTATTTTTTTCCAGTTTTTTTTCTTCCCGCTTAATGTCCGCCACTCTTAAATCCATTAACGAAACCATTTTCGCGAAGTTTAACACTAATCGCACTCCTGATACCAATTGTAACGTTTTTACTGTTCGCAGTGTGAATTAAAACACGCACTGGTTTTTTAACGAACTAAACGATTTATTCTATAGGTAACTTAAAACACTAAGAAACTATAAAACTAACTAAACACTAGTATTTATTTATATTTTACTACTGTACAAAAGCCTTTTTATTTCCACGTATATTTATTTTATTTCGTCGCGAGTACCAAAACTTAACTAACTCTACGACGCTTCGCTGTGCCTTATATATTCAGTGCGTACGTGACACACGTCACGCAAGCGCCTTTCCGAACATTCCAGCAAGCTCCACACCGCTCTCAATCATTCGAGCGCTGACTCATCGGCGATAAGTCATCATTCAGAGATCCAGAGTGGTACTTTCTACAATATTGGTTATAGAAAACCTGGGGCCGTATGCAGAAACGTTGATTTATTTATATCAACTGATTTAGCATATCAGTGGATATAGGTTTTTGCACGACATGGCAACGCAGTATTTTTCTTTTAAAACTGTTGTTTTATACATTTTAAATTAGACATAAAACAATTAAAATTTCATCAAGATTTATTTGACATTTGTGATATTTGCTTTTAACCATAGAAAATAATTTCGCTAATATAAGTCATGGTTCACTAGATTTTTTTTTGTCTAATAAAATCATCTAAAATGTAAATCGGTTGATATAATTTATATCAGTCGTTAACGACTGATTTAAAATATTATTAAAAATAGACAGTATTTTTGCTTGTAAATATACGTATATGAAAAAATAAATTCAGAAGGTAAATTTACCTATAACAAAGATAAAATTACTACCATGGTAATTATATCAAATATCTTTGCTGTTTTTTTTGTCTGATTGAAAAGCTGAATACTTGAAATCAATTGATTTGTAACTTTCTTTAGTTTCATTGTAAAATAATTACCCCTAACTAACATTGAACTTGGGTGAAAATATTTATTGATTTTTTTTTTAATTAAAAAACATAAATGTTTACTTTTTAATATAATACCTATATTATAGATAATTTAAAAAATACTATTTAATAAATAATAAAGATTATAAAATAAAACCAAAATTATCTTATTTTTTAAATACTTTTAAAGAATTTTAAATTTTAGACCATGTTCAACTTATTTTCTGCATTTAATTTTTTAAATTATGTGCTTGCTCTTAGAAATAGGACCAGTAGGTACAGGGCTCAACAAGGTAGATGGGACTTTTTTTCTGAGAGGAAATTTACACTCTATAGAAATATACTATTAAACATAGAAAAAAATTAAATGGATGGACAAAGGGCAACAAGGGTATTTCAAATTGAATATAAATATATGTTATAATATTATTAACAGTTTTTGCAAATTATACAAGTTTAAAAGGCATTGTATAGGAAATGGAGGGACAAAAGGGCAACATGGGTATTTCAAATTGAATATATGTACCTACATATTAGGGTGTTTCAAAATAAGGCAATATTTTTCTTTTTTCAAATTCATGTAAAATTCTCGTCACTTATGCTAAAACAAAAATTCTGTCAAAATTTGAGTTCCTAATATTAATTTTAAAAGGTCCATCATCGAATTTAAAGTTTTCCCATTGATTTAACATAAAAAATAGTTTTTTAAGATTTATTGTGCCTGCATGCTATGTAGAACTTTTTTTTTGATAAACAATCACTGTAGACCAGTGCAGAAGCCTTTAAAAATGGTAAAAAGAGAAAAAAAATAACAGTAGGATGAAACCCATTGGAAAAGGAGGGGAATATAATAAAAATTAAAGGAAAAATAAATTACGGGCGATCTAAGTTCGGGAAGTGGGAGGGGGGGGTTTTTAAGGGTAAAAAATGGTTTATCTCGATTTCCGGAAAAACTACAAGTCCTATGGAAAAAAGTTAAATGTCAAAGTTGTAGGTAATAAAAAGATCTACAACTTTTGTATTTACAATTTTTTCACATAACCTCAAAATTTATGTGAAAAATTTAAAAAACCAAGTTTTTGGTTTTTTATTTTTATCTTTTTCAAAAAAAAAATTTTTTACACGAAATTTGGTGAAAACTTACCTTTTTATGTCCCAAATACACTGTAATTTATTTGATTTGAAATATTTATTATTTCGCCTTATTTTGACTTAATATCAAAAAAGCACCCTAATTTTCAATCGAAAATTCTCGCGTCAAAATATCAGCTTTTTTCAAAAAGTCGGTGTGCTTTTTGTTCGATGAACTCTCTACTTTCTGATGGTGTAAAAAAATATACATTACTATGGTAAATGTTCTCAGAAAATACAAAAAATATTATAATGAATAACGTAATCAGAATGAAGTATCTAAATTCAATAGTATGATTTACATGTATTTTTATATTTTATGAGATTTTCTGACATAAATGTTATTAGAATTTAATAAATAAACTTTTTAACTAAAAAAATTGCAACAATCACATTTTTTTGATGAAATTGTACATAATGATTAAAATAAATTTTCGAATTCGAGTTTTTTTCGTTATTCATTATAATATTTTTTGCATTTTCTGAGAACATTTACCATTGTAATGTATATTTTTTTACACCATCAGAAAGTAGAGAGTTCATCGAACAAAAAGCACACCGACTTTTTGAAAATAGCTGATATTTTGACGCGAGAATTTTCGATTGAAAATTAGGGTGCTTTTTTGATATTAAGTCAAAATAAGGCGAAATAATAAATATTTCAAATCAAATAAATTACAGTATATTTGGGACATAAAAAGATAAGTTTTCACCAAATTTCGTGTAAAAATTTTTTTTTTTGAAAAAGTTAAAAATAAAAAACCAAAAACTTGGTTTTTTGAATTTTTCACATAAATTTTGAGGTTATGTGAAAAAATTGTAAATACAAAAGTTGTAGATCTTTTTATTACCTACAACTTTGACATTTAACTTTTTTCCATAGGACTTGTAGTTTTGCCGGAAATCGAGATAAACGATTTTTTACCCTTAAAACCCCCCCCTTCCACTTCCCGAAGTCAGATCGCCCGTAATTTATTTTTCCTTTCATTTTTATTATATTCTTCTCCTTTTCCAATGGGTTTCATCCTACTGTTATTTTTTTTTGGTTTCAAAAATTATCGACCCTGGTCTACTGGTCCTTTTTTAGCATTAAATTATCTACAAAAAATCTCACAGAGTCCAGTCTGTAATATTAATTATAAAAGGTCCATCACTGAATTTAAAATTTTGCCATGGCAAAATGCATTGATTCAACATGAAAAAATGGGTTTTTAAGATTTATTTCGCCTGCATACTATGTAGAAATTTTTTTTTTGATAAACAATCACTGGTCGTTTTTTAGCATTTAATTACCTATAAAAAATCTTACAGAGTCCAGTCTGTAAATTCAACTGTTTCTTTTTTATTAACGTTGAAACGTATAAATTCTAAAAAAATTGATATTTTTACATTTAGCGGCTAAACTACAAATCGTAGAAAAAAAAAGTCAATTAGCAATTTTAAAGATCGTTTAATGTTCTACAAATTCGTTTTAATCAATTTTTTTTATCACCTACAGTGAGTAAAGTGTATAAAATCCCATTTTCATGATTATGCATAATATATTATTATAATATTTACTGTAGGAAAAAAGTTTAGGGACAATTTTGCAAAAATTATTTAAAACAAATTTGTAGAGCATTAAAAGATCTTTAAAATTGCTAATTAACTTTTTCTTCTACGATTAGTACTTTAGCCGCTAAATGTAAAAATATAATTTTTTTTTAGAATTTATACGTTTCAATGTTAATAAAAAAGAAAGAGTTGAATCTACAAAATGGACTCTATAAGAAGTATATAATTTAATGCTAAAAAAGGACCAGTGATTGTTTATCAAAAAAAAAAGTTCTACATAGCATGCAGGCGAAATAAATCTTAAAAAACTATTTTTCCATGTTAAATCAATGGGAAAACTTTAAATTCGATGATGGACCTTTTAAAATTAATATTAAGAGCTCAAATTTTGACAGAATTTTTTTTAGCATAAGTGACAAGAATTTCACATGAATTTGAAAAAAGAAAAGTATTGCCTTATTTTGAAACACCCTAGTACATATTATAATATTATTAACAGTTTTTGCCAATAAAACAAGTTTACAATGCATTTTATAGGAAAATAAAAAATACACTGAAGGTAAAAGCAAATGTTTTTGCTAGAAAGCAAAAGCAGGCATTGTATGAAACTATGATTTTATGTTTTTGATTCAAATTGTTTTTATTATTTGTAATATGTGTTTGACAAAAAATTAAACATATATATTAAGCATATGCTCTGAAACAATATTTTTATTTTTAAAATAAAATACACAGGGTAATAAAATCTGGACTAGAACTGCCACAATTAAATTTTAAAATTTATAAAAGTAACAGTTTTTAAAATGTGTGTACCTATATTTTTCAACATAAATTATTTAAAAAACAAAGTGTATAAGGCATGCCAAAATTTTTCATTGGGTTTAATTTAACCTTTTAGAAAAGCAGGGATTCTTGCCCCATTTCCAGCCAGGATTTTGTTCAGGGGGGCAGGCTAGGGTAAACTATATGCAATGCATAGGGGATCCAATCCCGGGATCACGGGATCCCGCAGAAAAATTTCGGATTTTGAATTCCGGGAAATCCCGGGATTATAATTTCAGTCCCGGGATTATAATACTGTTTGCTTCCTTCTTAAATTATTATTTTATACCGCCTACACCGATCGGTAAATAAAAAATACGACGTTCTATTTTTACCTCTACCTTTACGAAATAACAAATTTCTTAATTTTTATAATAATAGGAAGTTAAAAAATGGCGATCTATTACATTTTATAAAGATCTATTACAATTTTCTGTAAAATCTAATTCGCTTTTTTTTCGCTAGGAACAACACTGACCAGATGTTTGTGTTAGTTTATTGAAGTCGTGCTTGCAGAGTAATCTCGTTTTTAATTCTAAAAAGGTGTTAAATAAATACATAAGAAAATAAGAATATTAAGCAGGTAGGTTTAGTTGTAGTTATTTAACAATAATATATCGGTATTAATTATACCGTACCTTCATTTGCAAGCTATACATAGGGAAAATACATTGTAGGTGGAACAGTCGAAAATGTTCCCAGAAATTATTTTGACGAGTGGATGAGTAGACTAACATGCGACGTAACTGGTGACCTTGTTTACTGGCGATTAAAATTTTATTAGGTCCTAATAATTTCTGAGAACTTTTTCGCTTTGCGCTGACTTCGACTTGTCTGGTCCACCTACAATGTATTTTCCCTATGTATAGCTTGCAAATGAAGGTACGGTATAATTGTCATTTCAATTAAACTTATGATGTGAGATTGAATGTTTTATTTTTAGGTATGGCCGAAAGTGCAAGTAAGCCCTCCGAGACAAAATACCAATCTCACAAAAGGAAAGCTGATAATCAACAATCCTTTTTAACGGAAACAAAAAGTGGAAAAACTGCAAAATGTAAAAAGTGTCAAGCCATTTTGCAAACGAAAAGTGGATCAACTAATAAGGGTCTCTTGACACATCTACTGAAAATATACAAAATAGACATAAAAGCAAAAAGAAACGTACAGGCTGAATCCACTCTGGAATCATCATCGACTTCAACAATATTATCAAAAGAATTAATAAAGCACAAACAAACAAAAATATCATACTACTTTGGTTTTAAAAATGATAAATCATTAGAAGCTATGTTGGCCCGAATGGTTTCAGTAGATAATATTCCATTTTCCAAATTTGTGACGTCGGCTGATTTAAAATATTTAAGGTGATGACGTATTGCGAAAAAGCTAAATCGGCAATGAAGGGAAAAATAGCAGCCTTGAAATCAACAGAAACAAAATGTACCATTAGTTTTGATAAATGGAGTTCAGGATCAAATAAACATTATATGAACATAAATTTGCATCATAAAGATGAAATTTGGAATCTAGGACTAGTCCGAATAAAAAACTCCATGACGGCTGAAACTTGCCTTAAAGTTCTTGAGGGAAGGCTACGAGAATATAATCTCTCTCTTGATAAAGACATTGTGTGTTTCGTAACTGATGGCTCTAGTACGATGATTTAAATAGGGAAACTTGTAAATCCAAAGCAACAGCTCTGCCTGGCTTATGGGTCGAACATGAAGCAATAGAATTTCTGAGCACGGAGGTAAATCCTGAGTTATCTGAGAACTACAGCCTACAGACCATCGACAAGAAAAATACTTAGAAGTTTTAGAAAATCTCCCACAAAAAATGATTTGTTGCAAAAATATGTTAAAGAAGAACATGGAAAAGAAATCAAGCTTCAATTAGATTGTAAAACCCGCTGGAGCAACTTGTTTATGATGCTGCAAAGGTTTTGCCTATTAAAAAAATTGTGTAAAGAAAGCCTTAATAGACCTCAATCTAAATTTTTTTGGATGAAAACGAATATCAAATAATAGAAAATTTAAGACGAATTCTGGAACCTGTGAAGTTAACAATTAAAGCTTTATGTCGCGAAGATATGAACTTATTAAAAGCCTTAAAATTTTTAATTGAGGACCTTAACAAACATCCATCGTCTTTGAGCATTGACCTGAAAGATTCTATCGAAAAGAGGCTACAGCAACGTTTGACAACTTTTTCAGGTGTTTTACGTTACTTACAAGATCCAATGCAAAACGAAACCAACCCCTTATTTCAAACATTAAACACAAAATGCGTAATAAAAGAATTGGTAACTCTATTAGATCGCCTTCAAACGATAAAGTCTTGGTTCATAAAATATCAAGTAGCGATGATAGCGAAGATGATATACCACTTGCCAACAATAAAAGAAACAGATCAAAGAAAACTGTCTTTGTCAGAGCAACTAAACCAGGCACTACAAAAACAAAATTTTGCCTACGTCAGTTCCGGTCATTCAAAATCTAGAAGAAAGAGTGTCACAAGAAGTAAAAATTTTCCAAAATAGCGGCCAACGTGGACCTTACCTGCAACAAGCATATGATATTTTATGCACTATACCATCAGACTAGTGTTGAAGCTGAAAGATGTTTCTCAGCAGCCGGCTTAATATTAACGATATTCCGTTCATCAATGTTAGATGAAACTTTAGAAAACTTAATCTTTTTACGGTATTTTCTGAAAAAAAAAAAAGAAATAAAGTACAAGAATAACATGTTCACTTTTATATTTTTAGAAAATGTAGCTGTTTATTTTTACTTGTTTATGTTGTTTACCAGAAAATGTATTTTAGGTTTGCTTTAACCAATAAAAGTTAACAAGAACAGGTTTAGTGAAATTTTAAATCCCGGGACCAATCCCGGGATCCCGGGATTACAAGAACGGCAATCCCGAAATCCCGGGATTCAAATATCTTACGGGATTGGATCCCTAATATGCATGCTACAAAAAGTTTCGTTCTGGACATGCAATTTTTGAGTATAGCTTCCTCCTTTTGATTATAAAAGTTTGTTCTGAAGCCATAATGTATGTATATCAAGCCATAATTTATGTATATCAAGCATATTATGTTATCCTCTAGAGTTTGTTTCTTAATTTTTTTATATTCTTGTCACAAATTTTAAATCTTTCTTCCCTCTTGATGTCTTCGGCATCATTGCATTTATTTTTCAAAACATTTGCCTAAATGCCTAAAAAGGTGTTATTGGTACTTGTAAAAGAATAGGTAAAAGAGCATTGCCCTTTAGAAACATTATAATATAATTAATAACACTGTGCGACAAATTTTGACCTTACAATTTGAACTGGGATAAAATGTGGAAAAATCGAATCTATGCAACCCCCAAAACTAATCTTTAAAGGGGTTTTGCTAGTTTAGCTCGAATAATGGAAATATACAGGGTGTTTCTTTTAACTTGAGACAGCTCAATATCTCGAGAAATACGCATTTCACGGAAAAATGTCTTAAATAAAAGGTTAATGTGACCAAAGGGGACATTATTTGGTGCTACCGCTAGCCACCCCCTACCCCTCCTTAAGGGTGAAACTTTGGAAAATCAAATGGAATGACCCGATTTTCACAGAGTTTGGTAGTACATAAAAAAATGAATAACTTTTATTTGAAAGTTTTTTTCAATTTATCAACAGATGGCGCTGTAATTCAAAATTTAAGAAAAAGGGGTTTCCTTGTAAAATGTATTATTTGAAACGTTTGAAAAACAAAAATTAACATTAAATCAACAATAGTCGGCTCTGAAAACAATTTATAACAAATGTTCGAAATGTCGTCCTTCCATTTCAACACATTTTTGAATGCGGGTAATGAATTCTGGCACACAACGCGCCAACATGTCGAGCGGTATCGCATTCCATTTGACTTTCCAAACTTACCCCCAGTTTCACCCTTAAGGAGGGGTAGGGGGTGGCTAGCGGTAGCACCAAATAATGTCCCCTTTAGTCACATTAACCTTTTATTTAAGACATTTTTCCGTGAAATGCGTATTTCTCGAGATATTGAGCTGTCTTAAGTTAAAAGAAACACCCTGTATATCTCCATTATTCGAGCTAAACTGGTAAAACCCCTTAAAGGATTTGTTTTGGGGGTTGCCTAGATTCTATTTTTTCAGATTTGATCCCAGTTCATTTTTTGTGTTGCACAGTGTAATTATTATAATTGGACGGCCTTCTGCAGAATGGGACCAACCCACACCATGATAAAACTGAGAAAAAAGCTATCAAAGATTTTAATAATTTTAAAATTACCTGTTAATTTTATGCCGATTTTGGACTTACGGAGGTTTAAGGGATATAATTTAATAATTTCATCAGGTGGATTTTGTGATGTTATGTGTAAGGGTGACGAAAAAAATGGGCTTTTGTTGGTTGGTTCCTTTCTGCAATTTATGAAAACTACTATCTGATGTATTTAAAGAAAAGCGACAATTATTTATTTTCAAACAAAATACAACTGATATTACTATTATAATGGTAATATGAATTAATTTTGATTCTTTTTGAAATTTGTCCACATCATCTTCCAACCCCACCTCATCTTGTAAGCTACCAAAAAAATGCATCAAGACTTTATATTTTGCAGAAGCAGGAAATCTTTAAAGACTTTGGTAGTGGGTCTACCCCCTGCTTTTTTACAAAAAAGATCCAACCCACTTGCAGATATTCTACAGATTCTAATTCTGGATTAGTAATCCACACTATTATTGAATGTTGGTTGGTTCAATGATTAATAGATTTCACTACACTTGCATTTTGGCTATGACCTATTTTGCAGATAAATTATACCTACTTAATTAGTTCATAGGCTAAATATCTCGATTTTTTTGGTTTTGTGGGGTGGTTCCTTTCTGCAGAAAGGCGTCCAATTATAAAATAATTATTATAATTATAAAATAATTATTATAATCAAAATATAATTAATTAATCTTTTACAAGAACAAACACTTGAATACAATTTTAATTTTTGAGAAAAAACATTTTTTAATTTTTTTTTAATCGGGAAAAAATAGCAACTTCAAAAGTTTTTCAGGGATCCGGACCGGTTTTAATAGGGATCGAATTACCGTCCCAAAGTAACTTTTTCCCAAATTCGGTCCAAAAATATTCATTCGTTTTCTTCTCCAGCGATTTTAATAGAACGGCCGAAATTTGACGAAAAAATCCAAAAAAGTGGGCTTGGGCTGTCGACTCCTCCTTGTCACTTTTTCGGTATACGCGCCCTTAGGGTCTAAACATCTACTAAATACTCTTGGTACTTATATAACTATTATATAAAGTGACCATTCGTCCTCCATTGAGGGAAATTACCCCCCGCTAAAACAAATATCCCCCAAATTGTCCCCGACGTGCAAAAGGTTCCTTTTTTATATTTCGATAAAATCAACTTCTGCTACCTACTTATTTCATTATTAGAGAGCCATCCGCGATGCGGACTTTTAATAGATGCCTCTACTAAACTAGCTGCTGTGCAGCTATATAGCTATAGCGCCGCGGCGTTTACTAATAACCCCCGGCGCGCCGGGGGTTATTAGTAAACTGACAATAGAGTCATGGAGTCCAGTATAGGTTTTTCCACGACTATTTTTATTTTGTTATATTACAGTATACATACGTTTAAAACAATTACATCATACAAAATAATGACCATTCATGAACTAAGCTGTTTTCAATTTTTAAATTAATAGTTTTGGTATTACAAATTTCCAAAAGAGTACAAACTGTATACAGTATGTATACATACCTGAATTTTGATTTTGTTTTAATTTAATTGATTTTAATTTTTGTGTTTTTAAATACATAAAGTTTTTTACAATTTATTTCATTTAAAAAATGGGTCAAAATATTTGTTTCCCCAGAAATTCTAATAGGGTCACTTTATATTATACATGTATGGTTTACCAAGGCACACTCTCTAAAAATAAAATAGTCAAAATTCTACTATTTGAATTAGTACCAGCATTTTTTACTAATAAAATAGTCGTTTTCACTTTTAAATAGTTATTTTTTACTACGTAAACAGTTTGACTGATTTAAGATTAGTCACCATCTTTGAGTGTTTCTGAGAGATAAAAGTAACTAATTTCTTTAATCGTTTGCGGCCAACAACAAAGTATTATTTGAATTAAATGCATATACCTAAGCTCCATGGTTAAATGACCCATAAAAACAAATAAGGATGCAAAAAGTTAAGCTCAAAACAGCAACACAAATAATATATTTAACTTTAAAATATTATGAACAATATTTATTCACAAATAAAATTGATTTTTATAAGAGCGGCTGATAGCCGAATGGGTTATGACAACAGCTTGAAAAGCTGGACAAGTGATAGACCTGAGTTTAATTCCCGGCTGGGTCAAAACTTTTTTTAAATTAAATCTACTAATTTGACTATTTCATTCAGTAGAATTTGACTAATTATAAGTGATTGCTTTTTCGCTATGACAATTAGTCAAATATGACTTATAATTAGTTATTTTTGACTAATTCATTTTAAGAGAGTACACACACAAATTTTTAATAATATAAATACGCATTACATAAATTCTTTAAAAATAAACCAGCAAAATAATATTTTATAAAAAATTTAAACAAAGTTTTAGCAATAAATATGTTTTTTTCAAAATACAATAAAAAAATTTAAACACCCAATTAAAACCAAGTTAATGATAATAAGTTAAATTGTAAAGGGTTTCACTTTTATGCTAAAAAAAGCCCATACCTATAGGTGGATTTTGGTACACTAATATCTTAGTTATAAGACATGGGACCCACACCAAATTTATATGAGTTAAAAATGACATTACCATACCAAATTTATATAAGTTTATAATGACATTATATAGACAAGTTCTGTGCAGTGGCGGCTGGTGGATTTTGGGTATATCAATATTTCAGTTATTAGACATGGGACCCAAACCAAATTTATAATAGTTTATAATGACATTAAATAGACAAGTTCGGCGCAAACAGAATTTAAATTGAACTTTGCGAAAAAAAGTTAGTTTTTCCTGTCGCCTCACCCGCCTCCAGGCCCCCCTATTTTAAATATTTTTTTATTTTAATAAAATAAATACCTAATAAAAATTTAAAATCAAGTAAAATCTGTAATATTTGGATTTTTTAAATAAAATTTTAAATTTGTCGAAAAATTATAGTAGATAATAAATTGCACCACTTTAATTTGAATTATCTCAAATAGGGGGGCCTGGAGGCGGGTGAGGCGACAGGAAAAACTAACTTTTATTCGCAAACTTAAATTTCAATCCTGTTTGCGCCGAACTTGTTTATTTAATGTCATTATAAACTATTATAAATTTGGTGTGGATCCCATGTCTAATAACTGAGATATTGGTATACATAAAATCCACCAGCCACCACTGGTTCTGTCAGAACCGTTTTGTGCAAGCAGAATTTAAATTGGAGTTTGCAAAAAATAGTTCGTTTTTAGTGTTTTTTTTTTCTTTGGCCGGCGGAGATATAAATTTGGTATGGTTCCCATGTCTAATAACTGAGATATAGGTGTACCAAAATCCACCAGCTGCCACTTGTATGGCTATTGAGTAAAAATTTGCAGAAATGTTAATGAAATTATGGCCAAGATACCTTTTGACAAAAAATTTAATTTATTTATTGATATTTTGAAACATTAGATTACTTACACAGAATCATCCTGAAGAAAAAGTTCTGGCCGATCTTTTAATAAATTTTCTTTAATCCATAATAAAAGATCTCCAATTATCCCTTAAACCGAAAATTAAATTTAATACAAGTTTTAAATAAAATCTCTAACTTAAAATTTCTTACATTGTTTATTTTTAATGGGCAGCGAAACATTGTGAGCTTTTTTATTATCAAATAGTAACTCAGCACCACCCCTAAAAGTTAAACAGTTATTAAAAATTATACAAATAATGAGAAAATTACCCAAATTCTATTGTTATCTCCAGATTACTCATGTTAACAAACTTTTTGTTCCTGGTTGGTGCCGAATTTTAAATAAGAGAGGTTATAAAATAATAATTCTAACCCAAAAAATAAACGTCAGGCATATGATCATTGCCAACTTAAAGCCTGATTTATAGATTTCCCTCCTTCCTCCCTTCCTGCCGTAAAAGATAATCAATACAAAAACCGTTGTGCTGTTTATAGATTCCCGTACGGGAATCTATAAATGGCACTACGATTTTCGTATTGTTCATCTTTTACGGGAGGAAGGAAGGACGAAAGGCAATCTATAAATCAGGCTTAAAACAAAAAACACTGAACACACTAGTTTAATAAATAAACCTTATTTTAGCCAAAATGTAATTTTAACATATTTTTAAAATAATATTTTGTGCAAAAAGGTTTTATTTTCATTAGGGTCTATATAGGAACGAAATTTGTATTTTTTAACAATGGTTGCCAACCTTATAATAATACTGTGTTTGACAAACACTGTTTGTGTATATTTAATTTAAGGTTAGAGTTGTCAAACAAAGAATCTTTTTTTGGTAATTTGTAATTTAAAAACTTTATAATGGATGACGACTTTGACGAAAGGCCCTGGGATGCCGTCGATAGAATGGATAATGATGTAAGGATTTATAATCAGTTAAATAGATCGGTTCTAATTTTTGTAATTGTTTAGTCAGAGGGTGGAGATGAACCCGAAAACCCCGAACAGGTTTTGCAGGAATGTGCCGAAAAATTTTCTACATCCGATTACATTATGGAACCAGGCATATTTTCTCAGCTAAAGAGATACTTTCAATCGGGAGGAAACCCATTACAAGTTATTGAGGAGCTTTCACAAAACTATACGGCTGTTGCACAAATGGCCAATTTGATTGCTGAATGGTTAATAATAGGAGGTGTAGTAATTAATTTTTATAAGGTTTATAAGTAAACAGTATAAACTATATAACAGCCCTTTATCATGTAACAATTTATGTCCTAGTGTAAATTATTTTATTATAGTATTTTATACAAAGTATAACATTTTCTGTTATAACAGGTATAACTAATTTTGCAGACAGCATGAAATAAATTTATTTTATCTTCACTGCTGTATGTACAATTATCAGTAATCAATATTTTTAGGAGTAAAAGTGACTGATGTTCAAGCTATGGTTGAAAATCATTTGAAAGAAATGATTTTAAAGACATTTGACCCCAAGAAAGCTGATACTATATTTACAGAGGAGGGAGAAACACCTGCTTGGTTAACACAATTAATTGAACATCCCACTTGGCGTTCATTAATTTACAGGCTTGCTGAAGAATACCCAGACTGTCTTATGTTAAATTTCACCATAAAAGTAATTTTACCAAAGTTTGTAAACATTTGTGAAACTCCTGTTATTTTAGCTTATATCTGATGCAGGATTTCAAGGGGAAATTACCAGTATATCAACTGCAGCTCAACAACTGGAGGTTTTCTCAAGAGTACTTAAAACATCCATAACCAGCTTTTTAACCAACTCAGAAGATTGGCAAAAATATAGCAAAGAATGTGCTGTAAGTACACACTGAAAATACATTTTTTAAACCTAATTTTGTTTCTATTTTTTAAAAGAAAATGGTATGTCATGGACAACATACATATGTTTATAGCCAAGTAGTTATCCACATTTTGGCACGAGAAACCAAAGGTGGAAGCAGTATGAAAAGATTATCTCAGGAAATCACTAAATGTGCACAAAAAAAGTATTATATTGACTTGTAGCAAGTTCTTAACAATAATGCTAAATTTTAGTGGCAATGATGTAACACCAATAACCATGGCCTTAAATGGAGCTTCTGGATATCCACAGGCATGCCAGGCCTTAACAGCAATGTTGTCAAAAAATACATTAAATCCAGCAGATATAACTGTTCTCTATAGAAACTACAATGGGATGGACCCCCCACCTCTTGATTTAATAAGAACTCCACAATTTCTTGGTATGTTTGCTTTAACACATTATTATAGTAAAAATATCACTTACTAAATAAAAATAATGGTTAAAAAATTTGGTCTAAAATTAAAACACAAAAAGTTTGGGGCCCTAATTGTAAGCATATGATTAATTTTTTTGTCAAGCAATAGTATCTAATGTTAGACGCCAATAATGTTAAAAAGCTTGTCAAAGTTTAACTAAGAAGGTAAAGCCCGCTGCACAATAGCCAGGTAACGGGAACGGAAATCTGAACAGTAAAGGTGGGAGAGACTAAGAAACCACTGTTGATAGAAAGTGTTTGCTGAGTCGTTACCGGGCTGTTGTGCAGCGGGCTTAAGACAGTTCACCTTTTAGTGGTACCTTTTAGCTCCTAACTTTCTTATAAAGGATTTTTGGACCAATGTGCATTGGATTTTTTACCATATTTTTGATAGTAAAACGGCCCTAAATTTTCTCTAAACACTTAAGAAACACCCTGTATACTAGTATACAGTAGAAACCACCAATATATGATCGGGTGCCGAACATATCTCAGACATGCTAGCAGTAATGTTTTACTTGTCTTGTACATTCGATGCAGCGGTAAATGTACTCACACGTAGGTTTTTAAGCATCCGGTCTAAAATGCGCCATGTGTGATGTAAAACTGCCTAGGTGTTCGACAAAGATGGACATATGACGCGTGTCCTAGCTTGTTACTTAATTTTGTTGGAATTTAGTAGAGCTCGTGTTTTAGGCAATTTATTTTATTTTATTACATAGTAAGGCAACCAACTCTACCGTCGGCCATTTGTTTTTATATGTCATATGATCTTTGTTTTTGCATATCGTGTTTCTGCTGTGTGTTTACGGATTAGTAATCGTTTTAAACGTTGTAGTGGCAGTGGTTTATATTATGTAACACAGATGTATAAAATTTAATTTTAAAAGCAAATATATCAGAAGTTTAGCAACCAACATTACACTCAAGATTTTTTACAAATACCCGTTATACAGCACTGCACTGGACCGTGACCTTCGATAGATTACTTCGTACGATTGTGCCTGATGAATCACGTTCATATATTCGTGGTTTCTACTGTACATTATGCACATAATTTTTAACAAATATTACATTTTTTGTTCATATTATCCATTGTTACTCAAGGAGGCAAAATGCGCCATGTGTGATGTAAAACTGCCTAGGTGTTCGACAAAGATGGACATATGACGCGTGTCCTAGCTTGTTACTTAATTTTGTTGGAATTCAGTAGAGCTCGTGTTTTAGGCAATTTATTTTATATTATTACATAGTAAGGCAACCAACTCTACCGTCGGCCATTTGTTTTTATATGTCATATGATCTTTGTTTTTGCATATCGTGTTTCTGCTGTGTGTTTACGGATTAGTAATCGTTTTAAACGTTGTAGTGGCAGTGGTTTATATTATGTAACACAGATGTATAAAATTTAATTTTAAAAGCAAATATATCAGAAGTTTAGCAACCAACATTACACTCAAGATTTTTTACAAATACCCGTTATACAGCACTGCACTGGACCGTGACCGTGATAGATTACTTCGTACGATTGTGCCTGATGAATCACGTTCATATATTCGTGGTTTCTACTGTACATTATGCACATCATTTTTAACAAATATTACATTTTTTGTTCATATTATCCATTGTTACTCAAGTTGTTTTTTTTATTTGGGTATCATCTAAATTATTAGTTTACAGACTAAAAACAATTTTGAAAAAAAAATTGTTAGTTCACAAACAATAAAGTGCTTTTAGTACTCAAAAGCGGCCAAAAAATGACAATTTTTTTCCGCTTTCATTATTGTCCGTTTTATTGATAATTATATTGACAAATCATTAATAAAAATGATTATAATGAATTCTGCCTAAAAAACTTTGTGTGCACCACTGCCAAAAAGATTATTTTGTCCTCGTCTTCTATCTGGCCTCAGCGATCGCCTAGGCCAGTGTTTCTTAACCTGTGGTCCGCGGACCCCTTGGGGTTATTAAGGGGGTCCTTGGACTTGTGCTTGATTTCATAGGGGTTCGTGGACGGAAAAAGGTTAAGAACCGCTGGCCTAGGCCATTAAAATCAAATTTGTCCAAAAAAGTCACTTTTTGGCCTTGGTACATACTCGCGGCTATATCTCACACCTAATCTGACACTCTGCGGCATGAAATGCTGTGCAAATATTAATTATGAAATAAAGTAGAGTATGAATCATTAATAATTATTTATATAATTATTTATATATTTCATTAATTATTTAAATAATTTATCATACAGGATAATTTAGTTTTATCCTATCCAGCTTTATAATACAGTACAATAAAATAAGTGGTGAAAATAGACATGACAATAGATATCTAACCCAACCTAACTATTTTAGCTTTGTGCAGTAGACAGGGATACTAGAGGCTAAATGTAGCAAAGTATTCCTCAAGGTTATGACGATTAGCTGTCATTTTGGTTATGCAGGTACACTGCATTCTGCCATACCAAACTAACCCAAACTTAACAACCCAACCGACCCCGCCCCATTGGGCCCCTCCCGCCCCATTGTCACAATCCAGCCTGCCCTTAGATATATTATACCTCTATTGCTCAATGGGGCGGGAGGGGCCCAATGGGGCGGGGTCGGTTGGGTTGTTAAGTTAGGGTTGGTTTGGTATGGCACAATGCAGTGTACCTGCATAATCAAGATGACAGTTAATCGTCATAACCTTGAGGAATACTTTGCTACATTTAGCCTCTAGTGACAGGGATTAGGTGTGAGATATAGCCGCGAGTTTGGTACATGACATGGTATGACATTTTAATGACATTAGGAAAAATTTATAACTCACCTATAAATAGACATGCCACAATATATTTATAAGACATATTTTTGTAGGAAATGTTACGCTTTATAAAAGGTGTAAATTATTTGTTTAGTCGTAAAATAATTTTGAAGAAATTTTTTTTCCGATTAATAAGCAAGTTATGCAGTTCTTATTATATAATATGTAAAAATAGTATATTATGTTTTAAGTTTTATAAACGCCATTTTAGTTACGAGTTTTATTAGAGAAGTTTACAAAACGAGTTGCATACTACGTCAAACCGAAATACCTACTCAGGTAAAACCAACGTATGAAATTCAGAAAAAAAAGATAATTTATTATTTATTTCAAACATTGTCCTCCAATATTATTTAATGATGGTTTTTTTTTGTAAAGCGTTTTTTTTTGTAAAGCGTAAAATTTCCCAAAAAAATATGTCTTTTATATTGTTGCATGTGTATTAATTAGCCATAGATAACAAAGCCTTAATTAGCGAGTTATGAATATTTACTTATGTCATTCAAATGTCATTTGGGCATGGTTAAACAAACTTGCAATTATTTTCATATTATAAGACTTATAAATCAATTTAGAAAGACTTCATATTAATACTAGTTCAAAACTCTGTACAGAAATAAAGGTAAAATGCAAGATACTTATACCTTAAGATAGGATGGTGCGCATGTTGGGCGGGGCTTAATGACGTCACTTGATGAGTGTTTTTAAATCTTTAACGTGCTTTTTAATTATCTACTGCTAAAATTCTTGTTTTTGCGATGCTTTTGGATGTTAACTTGCTCTACTTTTTGTTTAACTTGTCGTTTTTGTGTTCGGCAAGGTTCGAATTACTTTTTAGCGTTCAAATTATTGTTATTGCGTTAGGTTAACCTGTTAGGTTTGTTTATTATTGTTTTTGTGTTGCGTTAACTTGTTTTGTTTGTGTTTTAGATTGTATAGTGCCATTTGCATTTATTAAAATGCGGTGTGGCATATTTGGATGCAATTCGGACAACCAGTCCAAGAAAAACCCTTTAAATAAAAACATTAAATTTAATCGATTCCCGAAAAAGTTTGATTTGTGGAAACAGTGTTTAAATGCCACAAAAATAATAGACAATATTTACGTTAAGACCGCTTCTGTTTCCTATAAACATTTTCTGGACAGTGACTATATGTTTAATTTAAAACACCAACGCTTAAACTACAGCCCTAAAAGTTATCAAGGACTGAAAGCATTTATTATCCATATTATAACACTTTCTTCAATATTAAGTTTAATAAAAACGCACTATGTCCAGAAATTTCTCTATTTTCTTTGATAATATTACTATTATTCGTGTATTCGCACGGCAACTACTCATCAAGTGACGTCATGCGCGGGACGAACCAAAACTCGTACACGGGAGCATCCAGCCCTGGGTAAAATGTCAGTAGAACCTAACCATAGATTATAAAGAACCTAACCTAAAAATGATGTGACAAAGTCTTAAGAAATTATTTAATTAAAGCTAGCTTATAAGCTTATTAATTGCCTCGCACACAATCTACTACCTCATATACCATGGTATACTATTTTGATACCCAAGTAAACAAACAAAAATTGAAAATAACGGACACCCCAGTGCATATGCGTGTATTTTATAATAAATAAGACGTATATGATCTCTAATATAATAATACAAATTATTATAATAATGTTTGATGCGTCCGTTTTTTTAAATATTGTTTACGAAATTCTTGTAAATTAACGAGTTTTAAGTTAATGACGTTTAAAATGTTTTACTTGGTTTTTATTCATTTTTATGATATTTTAAAGTTTTTGAAAATTTCCCCGCATTTATCCGGTATTTACCGCCAACAGACCATCCGGTTAGTGGTACCGCCGGAATTCCGGTTCATCCTTATACATTAACAGTTTATTTTTTAGAATTACTGGTTGATGCTCTGTTTAAACCTGGAGTCAAATTAAATCCTGACCATAAACCTAAATATATACATTTACTTGCATATGCAGCAAGTGTTTCTGAGACACAACCCAAAAAAGGGCAAAAACGAACGTCAAATAGAGAAGAACTCCAACCCACAATCCGCGCTATTGAAACTGTCAACAGTATATGTAATGGAAACAAAGGTAGTTCAGAGTTGATGGCGGATTTAACAACAATTTATCAGAGTTTAAGGTAATAATAGCCATGTTGCATTTCAAAGGCACTAATTATTTCTTCTAGGTTTCCAGTTGTTTCTGTAGGAGTCATAAGGTGGGTAGAGTGTACTGTCACAGAATCCAGTTACTTCAAACTCTCTACAGAGCACACACCAATACATTTGGCTCTTCTTGATGAAGTTGTAACAAGTCATATGCTTCTGCATAATCAGGTTCTTGAATTATTAATTCGGTTATTTGAATCCAAACAAGATGAGCTGGAGATTTTAGTCCAGGTACGTTTGTAAATCAGATCAGAATCAGGTGTTTTATTTTTTAACCATTAAATATTGTAGCTTGAAATGAGAAAAATGGTATTGGACAGAATGGTTAATTTATTATGCTCAGGTTGTGTTGTTCCAGTAGTTAAATATATTAAACAATGCTGGCAAAGAGGAGATACAGACATATCCCTTATAAGATATTTTGTAACTGAGGTTGGTTACATTGCTAAAATGCCAAAATATTCTTTTATTATTTATTGATTCTAGGTCTTGGAAACAATTGGGCCCCCATACAGTCCAGAATTTGTCAATTTATTTATGCCAATGGTGGAAAATGATGAAATTACAGGAACAATGAGAGGTGATGGTGAAAATGATCCAGTTTCTGAGTTTATAGGTATGAACAATTGATTGTTTACTAGTATTTTTTTATTGTTATTTTTTTTTAGTTTATTGCAAAGCTAATTATACAACTGTAAGTTAAAATACAGAAGATTCAAGAGAAGATTATATATTTACAATAAAAGTTAATTTCATTACATACATGTAATTTAATTTAATATAAATTTAACCAAGTTAGAGTATATTTTGACTTCCCAATTTACACATTTATGGAAATAACAATAAATAAAGAACTTTCCTAAAACAATATACATCTGCCACAATAATAGTAACTATTATCCCTTCTAACCAGCCTCAAATTTATGATTGGTTGGATGAATAAATCATTAAGAAGGATATGGTATATATAAATAAACTATATTCACTCATATAAAATGTCCTGTTGTCTCCCTGTATAAAAACAAACAAAAAATTCTCAAGTATGGTATCACTAAAATGTTAATGGTTAAACTCACCACCATAAGAAAGATTGAGTGATGCTTCATTTTGAAGGTCTTCTGAACCTCATTAATAAATAAAGAACTTTCCTAAAACAATATACATCTGCCACAATAATAGTAACTATTATCCCTTCTAACCAGCCTCAAATTTATGATTGGTTGGATGAATAAATCATTAAGAAGGATATGGTATAAATAAATAAACTATATTCACTCATATAAAATGTCCTGTTGTCTCCCTGTATAAAAACAAACAAAAAATGCTCAAGTATGGTATCACTAAAATGTTAATGGTGAAACTCACCACCATAAGAATGATTGAGTGATGCTTCATTTTAAAGGTCTTCTGAACCTCATTATATCCATCAAAGTTGAAGTCGCCAGCTCTTGTGAATCACAATCTGTAATAAATTAAAAACCGTCACATTTTCCAAGTTTTTAACAAGCTAGCAAGACAGCTGTCATATTAATGGGGATGATAGCAGCGGCTCCAAACTTTTAGGATATAATCGGTGTTGGGTTGCACTCACGTTACACTTCGGTGTGGAACGTAGCTACTACTAGTTGATTAGAAATCAATTGAAAACAAACATTTAGTTAAGTTTGATATTATTAAAGATTAAATCAAACGTTGTGTTCAACTAATTTATAATCAACTACGTTCCACACCGAAGTGTAACGTGAGTGCAACCCAACATATGGTCCTTCGAACCGGATTTGAAAGTGCGTGTGACAATAATATAACGTGCTTCATTAACCACACAATTCAACCACGGCCGATGCCGAGATGCCCAGCGGTCCAGCACAACGTTGAAATCAGGGGTAAGTCACATCACCAACTAAATCCTATTTTATTGTCCTTCTGCACCTTTGCCTATTTTAATTGTCAAAATGGTTAGAGATCTTCTACCCCTTGCGGCCTTGAGTTCACGGTTTATTCACCGTGAATTCACGGTGAATTCACCGAACTCACCGTGAATAAATCGTCTGTTTGTGATATTTGTAAACGGTAGTTAGACGGTGAATTCACGCACTTTTCACAGTATTTTAATTGTGAATCCACCGTATTTTGGCGGTATATTCAGTGAATTCACGGTGAATTCACGGTGAATTAACGGTGAATAAACCGTGAACTAAAAGGCCGCAAGGGTAGGTATATCCTATAGGTTTAACACGACTATAGCTAGCCATTATTCGTTACTGAGCAGATGAGGATTAATGTTCAGCTATGCCATTACAGACGCACACTTCCAACTAAATATTGCAACCCAACGCTATTTATAGTTAGCTCGCTTGCGTAAGCAGCCGTGAGATGTATTGAGTTCACCGTGAATTTACCGTGAAATCACCGTGAATGAACCGTGAAATCACCGTGAATGAACCGTGAAATCACCGTGAAATAAAGAGTAGTTCATGAACATGCATGTTTAGCGAAAGGGAATAGGCCTCTAAGAGTAATCTTAAAGATTACGCGACAACATTCCTGTAATGCCGGCCAAGAAACTAAACCTGACAGGGATATGTTAGAAGTCAAACTAATGGAGGGTTTTAAAGAGATTAATCTTATATATATTATAATAGATGTCGATCCTGAAAAGAATGTGCCGAAATCGAAAAAGACTATTACAAAGCCGTGGCTGCAACGCGTAAATTAATTCGTAAAGCGGGAGAGTTATCTTCATCTATCTCAACTTCTTCAGGCACTCGTGCCTCAGTTAATACCACACCTCAATTTAATGCATCTGTCTCATTACCACAACCAAAACTACCTGAAATCGCTTTACCAGAATTTAACGGTATGATCGAAAATTGGCAATCCTTTCGAGATAAATTTCAATCACGCGTATGGAACAATGCAAATATTCCTAAATTAGGAATCCTAATATTCCTAAATTAGGAATCCTAATATTGATAAAATTTAGTATTTACAATCAGCGGCAACTGACAAAGCAGCGCGTGCTATTGAAGCAATAGAAACCACCGAATACAACTATCAAGTAGCTTGGGATATCTTATTAAATAAATATGACAACGCAATTTTAAGACATTGGTCTATTTTGCATAGGTTGCCTCGACTTAATAGAGACAGACCTGAGTCACTAGAACACTTAATCGACATATTTAGACAACAAATTCGTGCATTAAAAAGCCTAAAGGAACCTATTGAGAATGCTATAGCTAGTAGCTACATCATATATCAAATTTTATTAAAAATTAGCGAAAACACCAAATATCAATGGGAAACAAACTTACCGAACAATAAAATGCCATCATATGCAAACCTTTTAGATTTCTTAGAAAAAAAGAGCGAGTTGTTCAGACAATACATTTTCGGCAATACTCAGCTTTTTCAATCTTATACCTTCGGCTTTGCTTCGATTTTTTTGCGGCCATAAGATGTCTGAAAATTTATAATATTTTTCAAAAACTGTTGAAAAATAAATAATATATGGAGATATAATATATTATATATTATAGGCTCTTAAAGTTCAATTTGTGACATTATTTCCATTTTGACATCCTATATCTTCTATTACAAAACACAAGATCTTCAATAAGTTTTACAATTTCGCCCTGGTGGGTAAAGTTTGCAAAATAGCAAAATATTGTTAAATTTTACTCTGGTCTAACAATCTTTCTTTGTCTGGGCAGCTGTATAAGTGAAATTAACTTATTTTTCTATGTTTTTGATAATTAAATTATAAAATTTGATACATTTGTTGAGTTTGATATTTTTCAATGTTTTACAAAATCCTGGCCCACAGTGCGTCGGTGGAATTTGGGAAGCCGCAGTCAAATCTTTCAAGTATCACCTAAAGCGAACAATCGGATTGGAATTATTTACATTTGAACAATTAAACACTGTAATTATAGAAATAGAGGCAATCCTAAACTCAGATCCTATATTATAATGACATTAGTGCTTTATCTCCTTCTCACTTCCTAATTGGTGATGTACTTGCGGGTACACCTGAATATAAATTTATCGACACACCCTCCTCCAACCGCCTTTCAAATTGGCAACATATTTAGAAGATCAAACAGCATTTTTGGGCGAGATGGCACAAGAAATACCTTAATGAGCTCAACATTCGTCACAGGCGGGCTACAGCTAAACATTACATCAGGAACGGAATTATGGTATTAATCAGGGACGACAATCTTCCACCGCTATAGTGGCGCATCGACAGGGTGATAGTGTTACCGGGCGATGATGGGATAACAGTGTTATCATAACACGGACGGTAAACGCAAAAACGTCTAGTGAAGTGATTGTGCGAAACGTGAGACGACTTGTGCCATTACCAGTGTTAAGTGAAGACTGTTATGAACAGTTTATAAAAATAATAATTATTATTTTAATAAATTATTTTATACTTATTTAGATTTAGCTAAACTATAGTTTGTTAATATCTATTTTTACTGTTATGATTTTTTTACAGTTAAATTAATGCCTAAATTTTGATCGCAGTACTCTCAACCTGGGGAGTATGTTGGGTCCAAGATTACGGGAACTTAGACTAACTTTCTTAGAAATTTAGTTCAATCACTTGCAGACTTAAAAATATTGCTCTATATTGTTTGAGTCTGCAAGTTATTGAACTAAATTTCTAAGAAATAGAAAACAACTTAAATTAATATGAGTTCCCGTAATCTTGGACCCAACAGCTGTTATCAATGGGGATTAGGGTGGGCCGATTTTAATATTTTTCAAATCGCGTCACCTGAGAATTATAGTGTTCTATCTGCATTTTCTTTTTTTTATTCAGGTTAGTCTTGTTTTAAGTATTAAAGATGCTTATTGTTCTATCTATATATAATTGGGGTAGAAATTGTATAGTTTAAGCCTTAAACTTTACAATTTCTACCCCATTTATATATAGATAGATCAATATCATCTTTAAGACTTAAAACAAGACTAACCTGAATAAAAAAAAGAAAATGTAGATAGAACACTATAATTCTCAGGTGACGAAATATCAAATTGTGCAATGGTGGAAAAGTTGTGCATTTATAAGGCCAGAAAAATAGTATTAGAGTTTTTTTTTAATTTTAATTTCTTAAACTGCCGCAAGGCCTTGAAAGATCTTAATGTAATTTAGTATCGTTATAAATACGAAAAAAATTATCTGAGAGAAAATAGGGTTAAAAAAAGTTTTGAATGATAAATATTTATTAAAAAAAAAAACAAAAATAAAAATGAATTTATCATCAACACAAATTTAATTCAATTTATAATCCTGTTTTACCTGCCATTTTTCACAAACACCCAAAAACCACACACAGATACTACTTGTAAAAATTTCTATTATTCAACTAATTGACGATGTCAAAATATAATTTATATAAACAACTGTCAACTGTCCTACGTCAAACACGAAAATCTAAAAAAATATGTATTCTCCATTTTACGCCGTCTCTCCAATAATTGCAATTATTGCAAAATTTAAAATTTACAGTTTGACTTCATACAGTTCAAAACATTAAAAAAGAAAAAATATTAAAGGAAAATAGTTTATTTTCCTATTTCACAACTTTCCCGCTTATGAATAGTTTTAAATTTTTAAAAATTACTTTTACATTTTTAGAGGCGTTGCGGCAGTTCAAAACATATAGATATCAAAAAAAAATATTTTGCAAAAAATGTTTACTTTCCTATTTCACAACTTTTTCTTAAATGCAGAATTTAATATTTTTAAATTTTAGAAGTTAAATATAAAATCGGCCCACCCTA